TACCATACAATTCACCCATTTAAAGTATGCAATTAAGTGGTTTTTAGTATATTCACAGAGTTGTGCAACCATAACCACAATCAATTTTAGGACATATTTATCACCCAAAAAGAAACCCTATATCCACTAGTAGTCACTCCCCATTTCCTCCCAAGCCCTCCAGGCCTAGACAAACACCTATCTATCATACTTTCGTTCTCTGTGAACTTGCCTATTGTGGACATTTCATATACATGGAACGATATAATATGTGGTCCCTTGAGACTGGCTTCTTTTACTTAGCACAATGTTTTCAAGGTTCCTCCATATAGTTGCATGTATTAGTACTTCATTTATTTTCTTTTTTTCTTTTTAGAGACAGAGTCTTGCTCTGTTGCTCACATTGGAATGCAGTGGCATGATTATAGCTCACTGCGGCCTTGAACTCCTAGGCTCAAGCGATCATCCTGCCTCAGCCTCCTGTGACTACAGGCGTGCACCACCAGGCATGGCTAATTTATTGTTTAGTAGAGGGGTGGATCTCACCATCTTGCCCCGGCTGGTCTCCAACTCTTGGCCTCAAGTGATTCTCCCGCCTCAGCCTCCCAAGTAGCTGGGACTAATAGGCATGTGCCACCACACCAGCTACTTTTTTTATTTTTTATAGAGACGGGATCTTGCCATGTTGCCCAGGCTGGCTCCAACTCCTGGCCTCAAGTGATTCTCCCGCCTCAGCCTCCCAAAGTGCTGAGATTATAGGTTTGAGCCACCACACCTGTCCAGAAACTATTTTTTAAAAAATAAATTATGTGGAAAGAAATTGGATTGATGGGTTAAGATAAATAAATGAAATATAAGTGGTAAATTATTTGAGATTAAAGTTTTTTACTTCTTAAGTATGAGATTTTATAATAGTATTCAATATTCTGATTCATAAGCCATTTATGATAATGTCTATATATAAGTATCTGAAAACAATTTTAGAATTGATTTTATCTTGACTGCTACATGACTTATGCAACTTAAATACAAGTTATTTAATGTTATTAATAAAGTGTGATGATATTTAATATATATCTTAAAGTTGGTATATGATGCTACAGTGAAAATTTATAAATGATACCACTTAAAAATTCTTGTTTCTTTGTCCTTGATGTAATTTAAACATGTTTTTAAGAATGGATATTCTATGGCCGGGTGCCGTGGCCTACGCGCCTCTAATCTTAGCACACTGGGAGGCCAAGGCAAGAGGATCGCTTGAGACCAGGAGTTTGAGACCAGCCTGAGCAAGAGCGAGACCCCCTTCTCTACAAAAACTAGAAAAAATTAGCCGGCATAGTGGAATGCACCTGTAGTCCCAGCTACTCGGGAGGCTGAGGCTGAGGATTTCTTCAGCTCAGGAGTTTGAGGTTACAGTGAGCTACAATGACACCACTGCATTCTACACAGGGGTGAAAGAGTAACATTCTTTCTAAAAAAAAAAAAAATAATAATAAATATTTTACATATTTTTGCCTGAATAAGTGATTTATTCTGATCTATTTCAGACCTGTGGATATTTGGGCTTTGGGCTGTATGATCATTGAGATGGCCACTGGAAATCCCTATCTTCCTAGCAGCTCTGATTTGGATTTACTCCACAAAATTGTTTTAAAAGTAGGTAGGTATTACTGAAATATTCTGTTACATGTCTAAAATAAATACTGCCAGATCAATTCTGTTTGATTTTCAAATTTAGCTTTTCTACATAAGAACAAGGAAGCATATTGTTTTGATAGATAGTAGCAGATGGATGCCTTGGGCTGATAAAGAAGGCAGAAAATTGTCTGCTTTTGCAAATAATGTTTTCTTTCCTAGGATGCAAATAGCTAAGCCATATGTTGATGGTTGTTGCTAAGAAAAATAGTACAATAGGAATGTACTTCAATTTGTCTAAAAATTGTTTTTAAATTTTGGCTTCT